TGAAAAGAACAGAAACTACAGATAATGTAATGAAGACCCACACGAGACAAGGACGAGGCCCTCCCAAGTCACATGCTAAAGATAGAAAAGATGAAGATGCCAATGTGACATGTTACAAATGTGGACTGAAAGGACACAAAGCAAGAAAGTGTTACAAGAGGGTGTGGTGCAACCATTGTAAAAATAGTACACATGCAGAATTCCTGTGCAAGAAAAAGGGTGACCAAGATGGTGCTAGAAAGGTTGCAGATGAACGAGACTGTGATCAAGACCACCTCTTCAAAGTCGAACACTCAGAGTATAAAAGACCGCCAGACAACGTAAAGAAGAAAGGCATCATGGTAGACGCTGGCGCGACATCTCACATTGTAAACGACATCAAAAAGTTCAAAAACTTTGACAGCTCTTTTCAACCTGAGACTCACTCAGTGGAACTAGCCGACGGGACAAAGTGCAGCGGAATGGCGCAACAAAGAGGAACAGCTGTGATTTATTTCCTAGATGACACTGGACTACATCACAGAGCACAGCTAAGGAACGCACTATACATGCCTTCATACCCACATGACATTTTCTCAGTAGCAAGGGCAACAAATGGAGGATCAACAATTATCTTTAAAAGAGGGAACAGCCACATGGTTACCAAAGAAGGTAGCAGGTTTGACATCCACGAAAGTGGAAATTTGTATTATTTGCCAACTATTGAAGAAAGTGTTGACAAGTGCAAAGTGTGTCATGATCTACAAACGTGGCATGAAATTCTGGGTCACTGTAACTACGAAGATGTACAAAAGTTACAGGGTGTGGTTAGAGGCATGGAGATAAAAGGAAGCACAGTTAGCAAAAATCGGTTATGTGAAGTGTGTACGAAGGGGAAATTCACTCAGACAAGAAACAGAGAGCCAGACAGAAAGGTAGAGAAACCTTTAGAACAAATTCACACTTATTTGGCCGGCCCAATGCCAACACAGAGCAAAGAAGGGTACAGGTATACACAGTCGTTTACAGACGATTACTCGGGTACTATGTTAGTGTATTTTCTAAAGTCTAAAGCAGACACGGTACAAGCCACAGAAAAGTTCTTGGCAGACATAGCACCTTATGGAGAAGTCAAGTGCATCCGTTCAGATAATGGCACTGAATTTATGAGTCGAGATTTTCAAGCACTGTTAACAAAGAATAAGATTAGACATGAAACGTCTGCACCTTATTCGCCTCACCAGAATGGCACAGCAGAGAGAGGTTGGAGAACACTCTATGACATGAGCAGGTGTTTACTGATAGAAAGCGAGTTACCAGATGAGCTGTGGAACTACGCTATGCAAACATCAGCTTACGTGAGAAACAGGTGCTACTGTAGACGTACAAAGAAAACACCATATGAGTTATTCACAGGCAGAAGGCCAGACGTTTCCAAAATGCAGAAATTTGGATCGACGTGTTTTGTTTACAAACAAGAGAAAGGGAAATTAGACTCTAGATGCGAACAGGGTATTTTCATTGGCTATGATAAAAACAGCCCAGCTTATCTAGTGTACTATCCCAGCACAAAGAAGGTCCAAAAGCATAGGTTGGTGAAGTTCACAACAAGAACAACCAAGGAAAGAGAAACACAAACACCTGGGACGCACACCAGAACTTTGAGCAACGTTTTGTCTTCGTATCTGATTGATGGTGAACTGCGCACTCAAGCTCAACACTAATACATTCCTCAAGAGAAAGGAAGCCAACAGAATATCTCAAATATTTTGTGAAATAAACATTGAGTAACAAAAATAACATTAGTTCAAGGATTAGTAACATTGATTGATCCTGATGGTGGATCAGCACCTAGAGACGACCTCTACAATCTTGAATGTCAGCGGAGATCATGTCAACTAGCCAAACCCTAGAGACAGATCCCCTGTGAAGAACTCATCACCTTGATGGAACCGACTGAGCATGGTTTCTCCCAAGGTTTTTTTTCTCCATTTTTTGTCACCGATGGAGTTTTGGTTCCTTTGGCTTGCTTAGTTGGGGACGCTTGACTGATTGCACAGACACTATTGGAAGAGAGCTGAACTGGATGATGACATCACTGAATAATCAATTAACTGACTTCAGCTGAAAAATTACTCTGTTATTGTCTTCTTGCATTATTGACTAACTATTTTCCTGTTTTGACACTTTAAAGCTGCTTTGACATTCAGTATTGTAAAAAGCTCTATACAAATAAAGGTGACTTGGCTTATATATGTCAAGCTTGGAACTGTTCGGCATTCAAAACGCAACCTTATTGCTCATCACAATTTTGATGTACTGTTAGGTGTCACCCTTATTTACATAAATGTAAATGTTATGTTAGCTAGCATACTAGTTATTCCAAATTCCACTTGTATACTTTAATGCTACTCATGTTATGGCTATGGACTATAGGTTTAACAATATAATTTTGCAGACAATTACAACATACTTATGCTACTTATACCAAAGTGCCAACTTAACAATAGCCCCTGATGGTTCCATTTTCTTTATGCTAGGACAATATCAGCAAGGCTAATACAGTCATAACAACAATGTAAACAATTTGCTTTTGAATTCATGAGACAATGTTTAGATTTAACTAAAATTGAGTTACTTACATAGTTAAACTGAATGCTTGCTACAGTAGCCTAATTATGTTGCTTAAAAAATGGGGAAATGCCAAGCTGACAATGACAGAAGCTGAAATTAAATTTTAGTTGGAGTGGTTGTGAAATCAATTTATTGACATCATATCTAAGCCCTGTAATTTAATTGACCAATCAACAGTTGCAACAGCCGTATAGTGCAATGATCACACTACTTTATACTAGCTAAAATTGGCTTACCGCAACAAAATTATGACAATCAAATACAAATATTTGTCTGTTAAATATATTACAACAAAGCTGATAGTTTCATACAGTAAACTTTATTAACATACAAAAGAGCACAGTCAGTTATCTCATAAGAGCAAAAGGTTTCTCTGTATAAGAATTATACAGTGAACACTGAGCCAAAGCATATAGAAATGTGAGATAAAGAGCAATTATTGTTTTACAGACACTGAAGTGAGAATGCTGGTGTATCAACAAGTTTCTTCTAGTTATCTTCCTCTTCATCACTTAACACTCTCTTATATCTGCGCTTAGCTGGGGCAGCAGGACTCTTGTGGTCTGAATCGATGCTTCTTTCAAAGTTATTCCTGGGTAAAGGATCCACATCTGAAATATCTGTGGAAGAGAAAAGAAAAGAAAGTCTTCTAGATAAATTTAGGAATTCACAGCACTTTAATCAATATCCTTCAGCATCATACACTGATTATAAAACATATCTACAGTTACCAATCAACTACTTCTTAAAATTTCACAAAGACCTTAAATGACTCATCTTAAACGGTTTAAAAGTATTAAAATTAAAAAATGTCCAATCCAGTTACTATATTTTTTTCCATTGTAGGATACCAAGTGAACGTCTCGGGTTACTTATGTAACCATGGTTCCCTGAGTAGGGAACGAGACACTGCGTCCTCTAGGTTTCTTGCCATGCTGCGGACGCAAGCTTCAGACGAAGAAGTGAACGATGTGTAGCTCCCGGCACCGATTTATACTGTAGTCGCACCGGTAGTGACGTCATGGCTGTCGCCGGCCAACGAGTTGGTGTTTTTTCAATGTATGCTTCAGATACGAGTCACGACGAGGCGTTCCCCATAGCGACCCCTAGAGGACGCAGTTCGAAGTTCCCATGAAAGGGAACGTCTCGGGTTACTTATGTAACCATGGTTCCCTGAGTAGGGAACGAGACACTGCGTCCTCTAGGTTTCTTGCCATGCTGCGGACGCAAGCTTCAGACGAAGAAGTGAACGATGTGTAGCTCCCGGCACCGATTTATACTGTAGTCGCACCGGTAGTGACGTCATGGCTGTCGCCGGCCAACGAGTTGGTGTTTTTTCAATGTATGCTTCAGATACGAGTCACGACGAGGCGTTCCCCATAGCGACCCCTAGAGGACGCAGTTCGAAGTTCCCATGAAAGGGAACGTCTCGGGTTACTTATGTAACCATGGTTCCCTGAGTAGGGAACGAGACACTGCGTCCTCTAGGTTTCTTGCCATGCTGCGGACGCAAGCTTCAGACGAAGAAGTGAACGATGTGTAGCTCCCGGCACCGATTTATACTGTAGTCGCACCGGTAGTGACGTCATGGCTGTCGCCGGCCAACGAGTTGGTGTTTTTTCAATGTATGCTTCAGATACGAGTCACGACGAGGCGTTCCCCATAGCGACCCCTAGAGGACGCAGTTCGAAGTTCCCATGAAAGGGAACAGGCAGTATAAGCTTACTAGCATAAAAGCCCTGCACTCAACACACAGAAAATAAACTTTCCTCTTTGAGCCATAATTCTTTGGCATCAGTGACTCTCGGATTATACTAAACTGCTACTCCTTTGTCCTTAAAGCAGTTTGAAATTAGGCAGGTGCAAAGGACAATTGTAAAGATAACACCAACTGGTAACATCCAAGTCTGCCACATCCTGACTGTCACACAAAAACTTATTTCACCCAAAACTATTCTGTAATTATTTAGTCACCCTCATGTCATTCCAAACCCATAAACAAATGCCCCTTCATTCATTCAAATCTACACCCCATATCACAAAGACAAAGCAAACAAATATCTACTTTGCGAATCAAGCTTTATTCTCCACGCCACTCTGCCAGACTACTCCACTGGACTGGTTTCTTATGACATTTTTTTCTGGTTGGGTCAGCAGTAAGCAGTAAATATAATATATAGCATAATATAAAGAATAAAGCTCAATTTGGTGGGCAGAGTTAGTGTAAATACCCTTGGTGTTGATTAGAGATCAACCGATATGTCGATTTACCGATATTTTTCCCGATATTTAAGCATTTTACAATAATCGGATATCGGTTTTGTAATATTGGATTCACCGATATAAACGCCGCCATCTTGTCTTGTGGATGTTTTGAGAATTGCGCGCAGGATCACCACTGCAGCGCATCTGAGGGGAAACAAGACAACAACAACGGCGTGCCCGAGTACTTGATTTACTGTAGTTAGTAGCCATTAATGCACAATTTAGATGTATTACATAAATATGCAGTTTATGCAGCTTGGCTCGAAGAAACAGAGACAAACTCACGGAGTCACGTAAAATAATCCGTTAAGTCCTGTCCCAATAAAGACGTAACTTTGCGTGAATTAAATAATATGCAGCCATGAATGTGTGCATGTTGGAAATAAAAGTGCTCAATTTAATTCGCTCTCTGTTGTCTATATGCTCATCGTCTCATGAAGTCGGAGTCAAGTAGGCTAAGATAATCCGTCAAATCCTCTCCCAATAAAGACATAAATTTGCATTAATTAAATAATACAGCCATGAATGAGCGCATGTTGGAAATAAAAACGCTAAATTTAATTCTCTGTCTGTTGTCTATGCTCATCATTAGTCTCGTTAAGCCGCTTTCATATTGCTGTTCACTCACTGGTTTGATGCTCAGGAAATGCTCCAGCACGGCCACCGCATGTAACTTTTAACAAGATTCACTTGTTTAAAACACCCTAAATTGTATTAACATTTACTATACAACCATTATTTCGCTAATAAACATCTAAATAGATACAACTCTATGGAAATTAATTATTTATCATCTCCACGAGCGATCGCAGTTTGAATATAGTTCTGTGTAAATGCATAGATAAACTGCGCTGTCAGCAGGCATTTCATAATCTAGACCAGTGTTTCCCAACCGGGTTGCCGTCTGTCGAGAGCAGGGGTGCCGTGTAAAAAAATCCTTTTTTAATATTTTTAAATTGCTAAAATGTTCAAAAAAGCAGCTATTATATAATATCCATTTCTGATGTCGCCAATAATTAGATGCACTGAAATTCCAGCCGCCGAAAGTTCACCGCTCAGGATTCACTTTCACGTGGTGTGACGCTCTGCGTATTATCCCGCTCTATGTCTCCTATGTCTGCTAACCGTTATGCTCACGTGTCCTCTGATAATAATAGCTTTCTAGGATTAAACATTATTTGGATAATTGGTAAAAAAAAAATTAAAAAAAATCTCTTAACCCTACTGTTGTGTGTTAGACCTACCTAAAAAACTAAAAAGCAATTCATTTAATTTGTAGGCCTAGCGTGATTTTTTAAATTTGTGCTATCATTAGTAATTTCTTTATTTGTTCTTATTTTATTATTAACTGCTTAGCTTCCTTGTCATTTTTTATTCAATTCAAAGTTTTAAATCAAGCTTGTGCTACTGCAACAATTACCCAACTGTAAAATCAAAAATACAATGAGTGAGCAAAACTTTGTTTAATTACCATTATAACTAGCTATCTCACAATGTTTACATATGAATAAAAGCCTACATTAAAATCTGTCATATAAATTGGCATTTTCATTAGAAATTAGCCTACTGATTGCCACCATTGATGGACAATTTTTTTTAATAATATTAAAAATATCTGTATGACAGTATATTCTGCAGTTCTTCCCTGCTGTACCGAATATCTATACTTTTCAAAGTATCATATCGAAGTTAGAAATTCAAATATTGTGACAAAATTAATTTTGTAGGGTGCCACAAATTTGTTAAAATTTCCAAAGGGTGCCGCGACTAAAGAAAGGTTGGGAAACACTGATCTAGAACGACAAAACCATTATTAGTAATTGGTAATTATTAATTCTCATATAACATGCCAGTTGAGAAATGCAATAAAATACGATGTTTTGTTTGTAATATTTCAATATTCCAGAGAATATTATTCAGTGAGTTAACATTATCCATTTAATTATTAGCCTATTAAACATCTTATAAACCTACTAAAACTGTAGTTTAAAATGAAGTTATGACTCCTTTCCTTTATTTTCTCCATTTGAAAACATTAGACCTTCTACATTTATTTTGCTTATTGTTAATATTAGTGTTGCTGCTTTAAATAAAAAGTTTTTTTTATTGTTGTAATGTGAAGATTAAATTTAAGATGAAAGACTGTTAATTTTCAACACTTTTTAAGATGACTGAAAGGAGGAAAAACCAAAGTGAAGTATGGACTTACTTCACTCAGTCATTTATTTACTTTATAACAGTAAATAAATATCGGTTCTGCATATCGGTTATCAGGCACATAAACATGCAAATAATTGGTATCGGTTATAAAATATCAATATCGGTCGATCACTAGTGTTAATGTAGTTTTGTGGTTAAACAATATTTGTATGCTGTCTAACTTCAACAAGGATGTCAGGCTTTCTGTATTCTGCCTTCAGATCTTTTCAACTTCTTTGGCTGTACAGATTCTCTCATTGTCTCTGCTGGTAAAGCACATTAGCTGCCACCTCTGTATTTATGCTAGAAGCATAGTGTTTTTTGGTGATGCAAAGAGCAAAAAATTGACAATGGATCACACTTATTATCATGCTTTTCCAGCTAAAACAATGGGAGAATCAGTACCTATACAGTAGAAGCCAAAAAAGTCTGAAGCCAGAAGACCGAATGATCGACAAAGACCGGAAATGATAGAGCACACACAAGGAGAAAATCCTAGTAGTAATGACCAAGTTACTTCTTGGCTTTCTGTACCAGCAGCTGGTTTACCATTTTGTTGGTCTAAATCAAGACCCAAGGCCCCAAATGCTCCACCCGAAAATGACCTTTGTAACATTTTACTACAAATTGCACAGCAGTACTAAATAGAATTGAGTGACATTTAAAATCTGTATTTACTTTACTTTGAAAAACATACACAGAATTTTTATTTTACAAAAACAGTAGAAAAATATTTACATCTAACATCAGCCATTTAGTCAGTGGCGGTTCTCCTTATTTGGTGCCATAAGCAAAATTAGACATAAGGACTGTCTTGACTCCTCTATTAAATTTGAGTACTCTATTATGAAAAATACTCAACTGATATTTGCCCGTCAATTAACCGGCAAAATACTGTAAGTGGTGCATTCCATGGATGAGAATCGATGAAAAGCATGATTAGACCGTTTTCTAAGGCTGCACAAATATTAAAATCATTTAAAAATCAAAATAAAGCAGAGTGCTATTGTGAATTCACAAAGGCTGTGATTCAATAAAATAAATGTATGCTCTGCGGGTTTAATATGATTTACTGTACATGTACTCATTACTTGGTAGGGGCTCCTTTTGCTTTAATTACTGCCTCAATTTGGCGTGGCATGGAGGTGATCAGTTTGTGGCACTGGTGAGGTGGTATGGAAGCCCAGGTTTCTTTGACAGTGGCCTTCAGCTCATCTGCATTTTTTGGTCTCTTGTTTCTCATTTTCCTCTTGACAATACTCCATAGATTCTCTATGGGGTTCAGGTCTGGTGAGTTTGCTGGCCAGTCAAGCACACCAACACCATGGTAATTTAACCAACTTTTGGTGCTTTTGGCAGTGTGGGCAGGTGGGCATCCTGCTGGAAAATGAAATCAGCATCTTCAAAAAGCTGGTCAGCAGAAGGAAGCATGAAGTGCTCAAATTTCTTGACAAACGGGTGCAGTGAGGTTGGTTTTCAAAAAACACAATGGACCAACACCAGCAGATGACATTGCACCCCAAATCATCACAGACTGTGGAAACTTAACACTGGACTTCAAGCAACTTGGGCTATGAGCTTCTCCACCCTTCCTCCAGACTCTAGGACCTTGGTTTCCAAATGAAATACAAAACTTGCTCTCATCTGAAAAGAGGACTTTGGACCACTGGGCAACAGTCCAGTTCTTCTCCTTAGCCCAGGTAAGACGCCTCTGACGTTGTCTGTGGTTCAGGAGTGGCTTAACAAGAGAATACGACAACTGTAGTCAAATTCCTTGACACATCTGAGTGTGGTGGCTCTTGATGCCTTGACCCCATGCCTTTGAAGGCTCAGGAAACCTTTGCAGGTGTTTTGAGTTGATTAGCTGATTGGCATGTCACCACATTCTAATTTGTTGAGATAGTGAATTGGTGGGGTTTTGTTAAATGTGAGCCAAAATCATCACAATTAAAAGAACCAAAGACTTAAACTACTTCAGTCTGTGTGTACTGAATTTATTTAATACACAAGTTTCACAATTTGAGTTGAATTACTGAAATAAATTAACTTTTCCACGACATTCTAATTTATTGAGATGCACCTGTATATGCATGTAGGTTATGAGCATTTCAGAGTGACTCCATTCACAGTAAATGCTGCTCCACACAAACAGTTATTATTTACATACATGGACCATCTTAAACTCCATCTTTGCATATGCTGTGAGTCTGAGTGGCTTATAACGTTCAGCTGGGAACAATGTGCACCATTCTATCAGATTTACAAGGTAAATCGTTTATAAACCTGCACCAACACAGAAGAATACATTATCTTTCTAAATATGCTAAATGTGCATCACAATTTCAAAATAAAAGTTTAAATCTTCCTTCTGAGTTTGCATGTTTTGATGTCCACATGTTTTTGTTCAAGAAATGATAGTGGCTGTAGCATTTCTATCATAAAGTGGCAAGATATTAAAGATTAAGTGGACATTGGAATTAAATGTTTAGTCAATATTAAACAAGGATTAGATCACGCTGTAAAGTGTAAAAACTATCGTCAGGCCGTTGGCACCCTCTGCAGACAATTGATATAATACATAATGTACATGAGCTATGATTATATTATTTTATTACATTATGTATTTTAACAGTTTTTTTCAATAAAACGATATAATCTTTTGCTTTTGATATTTTATTTGAACCAATTGTTATTTCCTCATTGCCACTATATATGTATTTTAAGTCATTTTAAAGTCTATTTTTCGCTTTGGTCTATTTTTATTACCAAAAAAAAAAAGTGCCTTTCAAAAATGTGCTCTCTACATTTTTCTTGAAAATAAACTGTCTCAAATGAACTATAAAGAAAAGAAGACAGTTGTGTCTGAAAGCGGTGTGTGGCTGCCTATATTTTCAATTCCAGGATCCGCCACTGCTTGTAGTTTGCGTATTTGCACAATGCACTTTTTTCTCGCTCTTTTAAGTGAAGAAAAAGAAGACAGTTGTGTCTGAAAGCGGTGTGTGGCTGCCTATATTTTCAATTCCAGGATCCGCCACAGTTTGCGTATTTGCACAATGCACTTTTTTTCTCGCTCTTTTAAGTGAAGAGTTTATTTCACTTGCAAACTAGTGATCTATGGATACAATGACTTTACTGAGGTAAATGCAGCGTTACATGTTCACAAGCTGCTTTATTGTCTTTCCATGGTTGCACGATACATTTCAATAATTTGTACAGAATCTTTCAACATACCTTATGAAGTTCATTCCCGTTTATTTCATACAATAAACAGTAGCAAATTAGAAAAGGTGATCATTCACACTGCCGTTTAAACTGAGGCAACTAAAAAGTTTTAAGCTTTGCAAAACTTTCAAGTATTGCATTTCCTCTCTCATGTTTTCTGTTTTTGAGCGCTGCTTGGATATGTGCACTTTGTGGTTTTCTTTCCATTTATTCAGACCGGTAGTAAATGAGGTCAAACTGAGTCATCAATTGAGTTAAAACCAACCGACGCATGGTATGCATGGTGTTTAACCGCTACTGGTCTCTACTCACTATTATCAGTGTAATTTACATGAATCTCAGAGACTATCGTGCTGAACCACGTCAATAGATGGAAGTGGTAACAGAAGTTCTAAAATTCTAGATGAGCTTTTAAGATATTGTTCATTACCTCTCTGATCATCATCATCATCCAACACTCTTCTTCTCTTCTTTGATATTTTCTCCTCTATATGATCACTGAAACCCAAATAATCAAAATCACATTTACTAGAAATGTGAAGAAAGTCATGTTTAGCTTGAACCTTCTGAAATTTGTCACTAAAGGAGTACATCAATACTGGTACTAACCTTTGTTCCACAGTATCAGAACTGCCCTCACATGATGGAGGATCTTATAAAGACAGAAAAAAACTTAAAATCGTTTAATTGGTCATTACCAAACAAGTATGTAGTTAAAATAGTTCACATGGTCAAATATATTTTCAATAATATAGCTACAAGCAGCAATTATGAGGCAAAGCACACCAATGCCATAACATTTAATTTAAAAAATAGCATTCCGGTAATGATTTTAGAAAATTCAAAAATAGTAGTGAAATTTCTATATGGTAGAAACTGAAACCATATTAGTGAATTCGACTTGGCATGAACTATTGATAATAGATAATTGCATTTATACCTCCAGTGCTTGGCCTCTAATAAAATGATCAATATTGGCATCACCAAATATGTTGCATACTTACACTTTGAGTTAGAAGAGGTGCATTTCCTCTGGCGTGACAACAGCAAAGCTCTCAGTGCTTGAGCTCTCATCTCTTGATTATCTTTATCCTCCATCTCAACAGTCAGACTGTTCTCCTTGTTTCCCTCAGAGTCCCCTTCAGCTGCAGTCTCCTCAACCAAGTCAAGAGATGCTGCTACTGACCTCAGCTGATGCACGCTCAGACTGGAAGAAATTCTCCAGAAAGATTCCTGATGAATGACACATTGGATGAGATGATAGCTTATAGTGTCTTCAAATAATCACTATTATAGGAATAAGGAAGCTTCTGAAACTCAAACCAAACCTGTCCGTCTGTGGGTGCACGGATCCCAACTGTGCGTAGAAGTTTTTGGAAAGTCTTGTTCTCCATGGCATCCTCATTCTCCTCTGTCAGAGGAACCAGTGCCACAGCATGAGAAACACCTGGAGAAAGAGAGGCCATATTTTAAATTGAACTATTTTTGCATCTGATGAAAAGTGGTTTTGCCTGTGCAAAATATGCCAGAATGAGGTTAGGGTGTTTTGGGTGGTTTCTAGGGCTTTTCTACAGATGCAGTAATTGTGGATATGTTTTGAAGAGAAACAGATCATGCTGTATCAAACAACATTAGGCAGTAAAAAAAAGACATGATCAGTAGGGGGCTGTTGTGTTTTCTTTGTTTCATTTGTTAATGGTCTTCTCAACCCTGTCCTGGAGATCCCCAACCACTGCACATATTGCATGTCTCTCTCGTGGGACACACCAAATAGAAATCTAGTTCTGTTAGATGAGGTAGAAATACAAAATGTGCAGTGGTGGGGGTCCTCAGGGCAGGTTTCAGAAGCACTGGTTTAGGGAGTTCGTTCAAGACAAAGGGTAGACTTATATACTGTATATTCACACTCACAGTGTGCTGTATCACTTCTTAAAGGGATAGTTCACCCCAAAACTAAAATGTTTATCTGCTTACCCCCAGGGCATCCAAGATGTAGGTGACTTACTTTCTTCAGTAGAACACAAATTATGATTTTTAAGTCCAGCCGTTGCAGTCTATCGGTCGTATAATGCATGGCAATGGTAACAAAATCTATGAGAGTAAAAAAAACATGCACAGACAAATCCAAATTAAACCCTGCGGCTCGTGACGACACATTGATGTCCTAAGACACGAAATGATCGGTTTGTGCGAGAAACCGAACAGTATTTATATAATTTTTTTACCTCTAATACACCACTATGTCCAACTGTCGGCATCCGGTGCGTGAGGTGTGTGGATTACTTTCTCTCGCGTGAACTGATTCGGGAGTGGTGACTTTTCACGTATTCCCAACTTCTGAGCCTGCGCGCCCGAAGTTATGGTTGATTGCTCTTCGGCTGGATATCAACACACCCATTAACGTAAACTACGCCAGAACACGTACACACCTCACGCATCGGATGCCGTGCGCACACTCAAGGAAGTTGGACATACAACAAAAAAAAACACTGTTCATCTCACTTGGTGCAGTATGCATTTGTGTTATGGTTAAACTAAGTTTTAACAAAGCATATGGATGATCTTTTTTGAGGAAGAAAACAAAGTATCAAATAGACAGTGTCAACTTCCACTAATGCACAGTGCAGGCTTTGCTGTCTTGTGTCTGTCAGTGCGTTGTTTTGCAACAAACAGACTAAAATTGATAAGCATTTGGTGGAATTCCCTTTTAAATGTAGCTGTTGTGTCATGTTATATGAATATATAAATACATTATGAATATTATGGATTTATAGATTCATTTATGGTTTGAGCTTCTTCCTGTGTGATCAGCCTCACTGCTTTCATTAGAAGCTTTAGGCAAACAGGCTCTATTACATTAATTTCCAATGGATTCGACATTATGCAAATATAACAAACTGAAATCATTGTACTTGTTTTTATTTTGCAAACAGTATGTAAATAATAGTGAATAATTTTCCTTATTCTAAAGTGTTATCGTATTGGTTAACAAATAGCATTCTTCAATACCACATTAATACCCCCCTCATCTTTATTGTTAATTTTCTAATAAAATAACACTTTTTACATTAAGTGGAAAGTTTTCATTCATATTATTGATTTGGAATACTATTGGCAAATCAATATGTTTATCAGCTAGATTTTCCAGTTTGAGCATTTGGGATCTTCAAGATCTATTATCGGTATTGCACAACTTTTACTTCACAGCAGTTGCTGAAATGGCAAATCCATTACTTAAAAGGGGGGTCTACAAACTTTTGGCTATATGGTGTATATTATCATTACAATTTTTATTTTATTTCCACTTTCTTTCTAATTAGCAGAGATTACGTTGCTGTATTGTTTATTGTAAGTTTAATTTGTTTTGCTTTAGGAGTGGATGACATATGAAAACATTTTTATATTTGGGGGAAAATATGACAAAACTTGGCTTAGGACTGAAATTGCATGTAATTAGGGCCCAAACACTGAAAGCGTGCAGTTGTGAAAGTGCATGTAGTAAACCTTTAAGCTCTCTTCCTAGGAGATTCATGTGATCATAAACGCAATGCTGAACAGATTTTTGGAATTTCAAATGGTTTCACCATAGCAAGGCAATATGGCTACATTCACACTATGAGCCTTAGTGCTCAATTCCGATTTTTTTTGTATAGCTGTTCACATTTTTGTTTTAAATGTGGCCAACATCAGATTTCCAGTGTGAACAGATCATGGTTCTGAACTGACCCGTATGCGCAAAAGAAAGATTTTCAGATTTTCACAACAAAATCCACCCAATTCTCTCTCAAAACTAGTCCAAAATTAGCCCAATCATGTTCAGGGAGGTAAACATCGCATTAGTGTGGTCACTAACCCACAAAGTTGAAAAACATCCTGTGGCAACAGATGAAAAAGTAGCCCAATTCCACGGAGAAAATGTGGATTTGGCAACACTTGCGCAGCTCACCGTCATACGGAAGTAAACACGGAGGATAAAGTAAGCGATTATGCGCTTATTTATAGTGTGATCTGCTGCAGAAGCCAGCGAAATTATGCACAAGCAATATGAAAAAATAAAGACAAGGATGTGACAAAAGAAAGCAGAGTTTTGACACTTTTATGATACGAGCCCTCATGTTTTGCTTGTAGAGTTGTCACTGTAATACAGATGAGTTCTGACACACTGTACTTCCACTGATTACTTTTCGTTACGGTCTTGATAACCTTGGGTGTGTAAAATATTTGAAGTGTCTCCCGTAAGTGTGGAATTATGACGAATGTTGATCTAGAGTGACGTAAAAGCCGCATGAAACCCGACATGACCGTTTACACTGCGGTCACATTGCAAAACATCTGACATGGATCGGATTTAGTGCCACATATGGAAGTGGCACAAATCAGAATTCAAAAGATCAGATTCCATGCGGTTTGTGCTGTTCACACTGACAAAAACAGATCTGAGTCACATGTGAGCAAAAAAAAAAAAATCAGATTTGGGCCACATTTGCCTGCAGTGTGAACGTAGCCTATGTACCCTGGGACCACAAAAGCAGTCTTAAGTCGCTGGGTTATATTTGTAGCAATAGCCAAAAATACATTGTATGGGTCAAAATTATTGTTTTTTTCTTTTATGCCAAAAATCATTAGGATATTAAGTAAAGATAATGTTCCATGAAGATATTTTGTAAATTTCCTACTGTAAATATATTAAAACTTAATTTTTGATTAGTACTATCATTGCTAAGAACTAGGGATGCACCGATATGAAAATTTTGGCCGATACGATAATCCTTTATTTTTGAAAGCCGATAACCGATATGTTGGCCGATAAATCTATATCCAAATTTTTATATACTTTTTGAGAGCCTGATTACAAAAAAGGTCTCATCATTAAAAACCACATCCTGAACCCTTCAACATAAGCAGCCTAGTTTGAACGGTGTATGTTTTAAAAATAATTTTACTCTC